TAAGCGTCGACTGGTTTATCAAGTTTGCATTTGAAGCCAAAGTTCTAAGGATATGTTGCAAGGCTTTAGTATTTAAACCTTTTATAATCTACAATTCATATTTTACCTGCTTTGCATACTGTCGTGGTCGCTTGATTGAATGTATGTTCTTTTCCTCATTAATGATACAATATTTATTTTTATTAGTAATTATTGTATGGTTTAGATTCTGAGATGAAAGGAAGAGAGAAGGCCTAACAATGTTTTATTTTGCATTTCCTATTTTTTTTTTTTTTTTAAACTTGTACACAAACATCTCCGGATTGGTTGATTTTAATATCAATGATATCACAATGATGCAATTTCGGGAAATTGTACTACACCGGGTCACTTGCACTGCAGAAAGAAACTCATATTTTAATTTCAGAAAAAATACACATAGCTGAAAATGAATCAAGTGAATCTCACAAACACCTTTTGACAGTTCTTATTTTTTCCTCGGAAAGAAAAAATCCTTAGTTATTCGGCTTCAAGTTACACCGATCACGTGTTACAAATAACGCGACAAATAGCCGAACGTTGGGAAACTCACTACAAGGATTTCTTGAAATTCGCGTCCGCGTGATAAATAATTGTGGTCTTATATGACCGGGAAAAAAAGTAAATAAATAAATAAATACAGATATAAAAAAATCGGTCATCGTTTGCATACTTAGGAAGGAATAATGTTAAAGCGGAGCTCCCCCGTTATACTTGTTAGTAATGTAATGCGATACATTTTTTTTTTTTTACTTTTGCATTCGCGGATGTCCAAAGTTTTATGTATAATGTACTAATAACCGTATGGTTTAATGAATGAGCACACGTGAAAATTTTTAGCAATCGACACGCTTTATGGACCTAACGAGTGTCCCCACTCACCCAATAACAAATAAACGTTGTTGCATCAATTAACCTTCCAGGTGAAACATGTTTTTCTTTAACATATCATGGATAATGGCATAAGTGTTGCACGTATCTCGGAGCTGATAGCGAACATCAATTAAATGTTG